AATCCTGGATCTTGGAACACAAACTGAGGCAGCAGAATTGAAAAATATGATTGAAATGGAAATAGAATAACAATATCAAAAGAATTTATGCTAGAAAAGAACCAAAATTTCTCCTCTCATAGAATCAAATGATAAAGAATTCCGGGGTGAAATGAAAAATGGATTCATACCGCAGTAAGGTTTACATATTCTGCAATCGACTTCACAGAAAGTTGGACAACTTGCTGGACATTTGTGTTTACTACCATAGCAATGTTGGGTAGATTGGATTGTGACAAGTAGCCTTTCCAGCATTCACATAGGTGACAATGATACTAAAGCAAAAGATACCCATAATGAACCATTTTCCGACCAACATTGTTGTCGTTGTTGTCAGGTTTATCTTCCTCTTCGGTTTTTACGGTCTATTGTTGATGTTATTTCTTTGTTACTGCAATTCTAGGGTTAAACTCCAACCTTAAGGGTTCCCCACCGCCCCTGTCCTGAAACATTGTGAGGGAGGTAAATCGCAGGTTATGCCTCCAAGGAAATGTATGGAAATGATGAAATGCATGGAAATAACATTTTGAGTTCTTGCACTTGTTTCTTGACTTTGGCTCTTCAACTACTTTGAGGTAAGACAGACGTAGTGGTTAGGTGTTTGGTTGCTATTGAAGTGTAAAAATATGTCCAAGGTCAACGCCCCATTTAATTATTCTAATCTAGAGAGTGCCAGGACTAATGCAAATTTTTCGATGCCTATGTAGTATTTTTGATAAGGTTATGCTAAATAAATAAAATAATGTTATTTGGGAGGATAATTTTATATGTACATTATGATATACATAAATATGTCCATAATATACACGTGGAATTCCATGATTGAAGGGTTGAAAAAACTGTTTTTCAACCCTCCAATAATATTATATCACTTGTACCTTACGGTCACTATAATATACATATAGCATAATCCCAGTTGAAATCACTAGTGCTAAGTAACAATTTGGGTGGCGTGCTAGTGTCATGAATTGATAGATCACCTTAAAAGTAGAAAAATAAATCACATTTAAGATGTCCAGTCACTTGCACGACATCTAGACTAGTGCTAGATATCATTACTCAAATAAATATAACAATACTAACAATATTTTCAACCTAATATTGTTTCTCAATTTTATCAACTTAAATGTCAGAGCAAACTAAATTTGTTTTATCTCCAAAATTCTGAACCATTCTTCAAATAACACCAAATTCATGAAGTTTGATCGAATAGGGATTCAAATTTTTGGAAATTAGGAAAAATATTGACTGGATGTTTTAGAACGAAGTGAGAATTTTGGAGAAAACTAGGTTGACTTACGGAGTTAGTTGTTACATTAAATATTGAATTTTGTTCAATGTCATGTTTTACTTATTGTATTATGAATTGCTTTCAAATGGTAACTAAACGTTCACAAGTTGCACTTCATCCATCATCCATGAAGTTAGCATTACTTGGGGAGTCCATGTGGATAGACGAAATACAATGTGACATATTGTCAGAATTAAAACTGTCGAATTTGATGGTTTTGAGGTGAGCAGTGCTGTGTAAACACCACAGATGAGACACAGCACTAGGGGGCCGGGCAGGGGCGGACCCAGACCATTTAAACTGTGGGGTCAAAATTTTTTTTTTCGAACAACGTATCATGAAAAAAAAGGAAAAATCGATTGTTTGTTGTTCATGTTCGATATGGACCATGTGATATGGATATAGATCTAGAATTCGGACTTTTTAGGGCAGAAAATTGAATTTTCAGCAAAAAAAAAAACAGAAAAATTAAGTTTCAGCACCAAAAAAAAAAAAAAAAAAAAAAAAAATTCCAACACAAAAAAAAAAAAAAAAAAAAAAAAAAAAATTCCAGAAAACTGTGGGGTCATTTGACCCCACATGACCCCATGTGGGTCCGCCCCTGGGGCCGGGTGATTTTTTAACTTTTTTTATTTCAACATGGGCCCACACAATGTGAGATTTTTGTTGCATTTCTGTAAAACACTTTTTTATACATATTAAATTGCTGTTTTGAGGTTGGAATCACTAAATTTTGTAATTTGGGCACATTAGGAGATAACATGCGGAATTCTTTGGGCTGTTACATAGCTTATGTATTTTTTTTTAATAGATTTTTAGTTTGTTGGATAGATTTTGACAAATGAAATTTGAAGTTATTTTTCAACCTTTTTTAATAAAATATAGGGTGGTTGTCAATTTTGCCCATGAGAATATCTTTCTTGGACTGGGCTTCATTTATCATGGAGGAGCGAAGATTAATGAAAATACAGAATTGGATAATAATTAAAATAGTCGAAAAGTACTTTCCATAAAATTTTTGGAAGAAATTATAAATTGATAAAAATGAATGATTGATAAGTGGATAGTAACTGCGAATTTTACGTGATGTGTAATTAAAATTAAAATTTGATTTTAACCTTTTTATTGTAATTATAATTTAAGCAGTTCACGACATTTACAAAGTGGTTTCACTAAACATCTAATAATATTAATATATGCTATAGTAAATTAATCTATCAAATAAAATAATACAAAATACCGCATTAATATATATTATATTAAATTAATACAGGAAATCAGATAAACCAAGTATTCACCGGCCTTAGTACGCAGTTATGGATAACCTTTGCTTGGAAAATGACGTGAATAAATTAATATCATTATTGCTGCAATATCCAATAAGCAATTATTATATTATTATATCATCTTAAAGTTGATTGTCACACTAGAAATCAAAATCTATCACATCTCTACTTCTTGTCACGCATGATTTATCCCATGCACGTTAAGACAGTGCAAACAGCAACAATCATGCTACACCGACGTAAAGTTTGAAATAAAATTTAACGTAATGTCACGTGATATTCAAGGTCTGATTGATGATGATTATGAGAATTAATTTTTTGATCGTTAAAGAGAAAAGTGGATCTCACGTGTAAGTGAATAAGTAAAAAATAACGACTAACTTAAGAAAGTAACGATAAAAAAAAATTGATTTTTTGAGTTGAAAAATTATAAACATATGGGGCTCAATCATTGGATGAAGTTAAAAAACAAAACTTTTTCGTCTAATCACTTTCTTCTATAATATGAACAAACACGTTAAATTAACAGAAGGCACACTTTGTCATCTTATACCATGCCATTTACCTCTCTAACCAAGGAAAAGCGATCGATTTTTATAATCTAGTGGCAAGAGGGACCAATCTCATCTCTAATTAATTTGTGTTGGGGGCCCTTTTGTTGAAAGATTCGAAATGGATCAATTCAACATAAAAGTAGATATTTACACAACAAAAATCTCGAGGCATCCTATTGAAGTTTCGGAAAAATAAAAAATAAAAAAATAAAAAGAGGGGAGAGAGAGGAAATCATAGTGAATAAATGACACGAATTGGAGTGACTATTCATTAAAGACCCCCATTTTTTTTGGATAATGTATTTTAAAATATTGATTTTTTGTAAAATGTCAAGTGGTAAATAGAGAAAAATTTTGAATTTATGTGTAAAATTATTTTATGAAAGAATGTATAGTTGAAAATGAATTTTGAAAAAATGAAATTTGAGAATGGGGTTCAAACAGCTAAATACGTGAAATATCGATCAATTTTTTTATTTAACTATTTTTTATTTTTATGAGAAAATTAGAGATCGTTTGATATACTTTTTTATGTATTCTTTGTTAAAATAGCAACAAAAAACATGTAGGGCGAAGTTAGAAAAAAATTAAAAAATGAATTATGTAACCCAACCTCCCCAAATTGGTGAAATAGATCTCTCTTAATGTAACTACATGTTTTATTGTGACTCATAAGTAATGTTACAATCTTGAGTTCCAACTCAAGAGTTTAACTAAAACGTGTTAAAAAAGTTGTGTCACGCACGGTACTAGAAATTTGGTATGTATAACTTGACTCGACAAAATAAACATTCACATGGCTTCAATAATATTTTAAAACCAAAAATAAATAAATACTTAAATATTCTATATTTTCGGAGGTTGAGTCTCGATAGCTCAACTAACGATTTATTTTGACGATCGAAAAATTGCCCGGAGCCACTCTCAACCTAGGCCATATGTTTCCTTGACTTCTAATTTTTAGATTTTAGCAATATTTATGAACTCACTCAACTCATTTTATACTTTTAGTTTTATAATATGAAATTATCTCAAATTAAAATAAATAAATAAATAAATAAATCTTTAGGCCAAACATTTCTCCGTTACATCTTCTAAATTCCTGGATTAGATTATAAAGATAAGTTTTATGTCCATTTCAAGTAAATAAGGGGAAGGGTTCAGCTTAGTGCTGCCAGGTAGGACAAAAAGGGTCCCGCATCACATACGTGGCAATTACAGCCATGTCAGTCTAATCTCTACAAAAAGGATGATTCGTAGAATATTCTCTCCCCGATCCTATTCAATAATTTATTTCTGCCCAGAATGGATAAGCCCACCCTTACCGTGATATTCAGAACCGCCCCCCACTTAATGCCTTTTTCAAACATTTAGGCCCTTTTGATGTAATTGGCAAGAACAAATTTTTGAATAGTAAATTATTGAAGAATGTATTATTATAAAGTAGAAAAATTTTAAATTTACGTGTAAAATATTTTATTATATGAATATATGGTTTAAAATTAAAAATTAAAAAAGAGTTTTGAAATATATACTTGCATGACTAATCCACAACATATCGTTGTATACCCTTATTTGGTTCAATAAAAAGTCGATTAAAATTTAAATCAAAATCAATAATTAAATTTTAATCACATCTCATGAAATCCACAATATTTTTAACTACAATCTTCCATCAACTTATATTAAAATTTACTAAAAATTTAATTATTTTCTAAATCAAAATATTTTAAGCACAAAGCTATTACACAGTTTGAAAGACTGGGGTTTGACTAGCTAATGGATCAATAGCTTAGGGAGCAATATTGCAATTTTCCCTATAAATACAATTCATTTCTTTAGTATCTCGCAACACAGTCCGCCATGACTTCCATCACTGCTCCTCCGTGTGCACTCCCTCAATCTGAACAAGAAAATCTCATCGAAAAACTTGAAATCTTCAAAATTCAAGGCAAAGATAAACGAGGCTGCACCATCCTTCGCATAATCGGGAAAAACTTTCCAGGCATAATAAATTCATTCATTCTTGTTTTCACTCTCTCTACTTGTTGTTTGTATTAACATTTGCAGTTGCAATTTGTTAACAGCGAGAGTTCTGAATGTTGAGGCACTGAAGAAATACTTAGAGGATGTGATTTTTCCGAGTTTACGTGAAACCCCATTTTCAATGGTCTATGTCAACACTGGTGTCAGCAGAAGCGACAACTTCCCAGGCATTTCAGCATTGAGATCAATCTACGAGGCAATTCCAGTTAAAATTAGAGAGAATCTGGACTCAATTTATTTCCTCCATCCTGGATTTCAGTCCCGCCTCTTCCTCGCGACGTTTGGCCGTCTCATCTTCCCTGGACCCGGAGGGTAAGCTTAAGCTGTCATGTTAAATTTATTAATTTTGAACTAGTTTTTTTTTGGTTTTTTTGGTCGAATTCATTTTTCGAAAATTTTGCAGGTGGTATTGGAAGGTGAGATATGTGAACAGGTTGGAATTTCTGTGGGAAAATGTGAGGAGAAAGGATATTGAGATACCTGAATATGTCTATGAAGAGGAAGAAGAAATGGAGTACCGTCCACCCACTATGGATTATGGGATGGAGAGTGATCACCCAAGATTATATGGATCTTCAATTCTTGATTGTACAGTTTCAACCTATTCCACGAGGGGTATTGCTTAGTGTCATGTTAGTTTTTCTATATACTTCTGTTTTCAGTTATATGAAGAAGATAAGAGAAGAGAAGATAGGATGTATTGCACAAGGGGTGGATTGCTGTTTTCTTGATTTTCCATAAGTTTTATGGACATGTAAATACATCTAATGCGTGAGAAAATTATTACCTTGATTACATTATTAAAAACCCAAAAATGTAACCATTTCAAGAATAGGGCTTTTGCCTCATTTCATTTTCGTTGGAAAAAGCAGTGATTTGAGTGCAGACAATGAAGTGATGAGTAACAGCACCGTACGAAATCACAAACCAAGGTTACGTTTCAAAGAAAAAGTGCATTTATTGCTTAGAAATATAACGAACTTACCCCCAAGAATATTTCACACTTCTTTTACCCAGGATGAATGTCAAATGTACCTAAAAGTTTGCTTGCGTATAAGCAGTTGTACAAAATATCAAAACATATAACCATTCAGCAATTACTGGCATCAATTCGAATGAAATAACAGCATTAAACACCAAAGAGGCAAGCTCTTTCGACAATATGCCAATTTAGGAAAAGTGACACACAAAATAAATTGATGTTCTAATGCATCTAGGGGATGTCAACATGTTCTAGGCATGCGTTAAGTAAGTACAGGCACGGTTAGGGGTGCAGCAGCCTATAATTTAGGTTCTTAGAATGAAAAGGGAAAAACCTATGCAAACTAATGCGTAAATTCGTATCGGGCTGTAGGCCAGGACACATGGGCAGGATGTTACCAATGTCAGATAATCAAGGAAAGTGCAACATGTATAACCCGGTTGACAACCACACACATTGGACCCTCCTATGAGGACTTTGTTAACCGGCGTTGTCAACCTCGGTTGTAGAACTAGAAAAATCAGATAATCAATCCATGCACCAGCCTATTTGTATAGTTAATTTCCTAATGGTGCTTAAGGTCACAACGAATGTGAAGAAATATTCGAGCAATAAATTTCTATGTTGTATCTAACAAGATGGTGGATGATATTACACGCTTCAAGATAGTCCACAGTATGATAAAATCTCGAGAATTTATTAAAACTGAGCTTGTAACATCATAGATTTCTCTAGACAATTTTGATTGTGAACTTGAAAAATTATATTAAGGTTCTAATAAATAGTTTCAAGTACATCAATAGGAAAACAAATGGTAAGCAATCAAGGAGAGACCATACTGTAAGGGTGGATAGAAGAATCAACATGTATGCACCACCAAAGCTTCATCATGCTTCACATCAGTGTTATGGCCATTGTCCACAACTTCATCGCATTTTGTATCGGTGCTCTGACCACTGTTTAAACCGCGTAAGTTGGGATAGTTGCGATAGTTTAGAGAATGCAACCAAAGGGCCACAACTCCATCCTTGTGCTCTGTTGACGCAATATGAGGGTAGATATACGTCATTTTGAAGTCTTCTGCTTCCTCTGCATAATCCTTCATGGACAATTCTTCATGGCTGTCTTTCCATTTCTGATTATAAGAGGAAAAGAAGCATTCATCCAAATATAATCCAACCTCAGGTGCCATTGGCACATTAATGTTCACATTCCTGATTTCAATAAACAAATAAGAAATAAAAAATCTAGATCAAGAAAGAGGCCAATAGAAGACATAGTTTGCAGGCAATACACTTACTGTTCAAAAGCCGTTTCCATCAAAGATTCAGGAGAAATATTCCTCATAATTGCAACCGCAAGGCCAATCATTTTCCGAATCTGGTGGAGCATGAAGCTTTGCCCGATCACCTCACACTTCACAAATTCAATACCTTCTACGTTAACCATGCTGTTTGCAGTAAACGAAATAATGTATCTCTTTGCAGAGGGATCCTCAGCTGTTATTCTTGTAGTAAAATTATGAAAATTATGTGTTCCTTCGTAGAACTTCAAAATTCTGTTAAACCTCTCCCTCTCCTGCTTTCCATAAGAAAACGCACTCCTTTTCCGTGGTTTTGCATTGCCATCCACGCTTCCACTGTAAACTTTATCTTCCTCAGTTTTATCACTTTGGGCAGCCCCATCATCCAGTTCTTTCACACTTTCAGTATTTAACTTATTATCATCAGCCTCATTGTTGCGATTTCCATTTTCTAAAGTTTTAATAACAACTTTCTCTTCATTTCCCAATTCAAATAAAGCACTTCTGTCCAATTTAATGCTTGAATCAACGGGAACAGATTTCGAATGGAAATTTATTTTACCCACTACTCCAAAAACTTTACGGCCTCTTTCCGAACACTCTAAACATTTAACGAGCTCATTCTCAGACCCCACACTAGCTAAAACACTCTCCCTATCTCGATGACAAGATGGATCAAGCGCAAAGACAGGAATCAAATAAACATACCTCCGTTTAACGCAGAACTTCTTAGCATTAAACGCCCCCGTAACACGTTTGAACCCAAATATCCGAATCTTAGGCGACAAATTTGAATTCAAACGCTCGATTAACCCAAAGGGATCGACATAGAATCGTCCCGAAACCACTTGGCCAACGGCGCTGACACCTTTATCCGTTCGAGCGGAACGGGCAAAGTCAAAACGTTTAGGAAGTCCCCTTTGCTGCTCAGGAACTGCACCCGAATGATAAAGGGCCTCCTCGAGGTCACCTTCGATGGTTTTGGCGCCAGGATTTTTTTGCATACCCTGGTATCCCACGCCGCAATAAGCGAAGAAAATTGCTATTTTGCGGCGCTTGTATCTGGGTTTTTTTGGGAGTACGGCACCTTCATCGGCTGCAGCGGAGGCATTGTCGTAATTGTCATCGTCGTCAGAAGTGGTGGTGGACATTATTAGCTTCTTGGTGTTTGGCTGTTGTCCTTCTTGTGGATGAGAATCTACAGAAGGGTTTGGGTTTTCAATTTCCATTTTCAAGATAGTGAGTGTGAAAGTGGAATGTTAGGGCTGGCCATTACTGCGTAACTGTGTCGAATTGGGGTTTACGTGTCTCTATACCACCGTAAAACCTAGAATTAGAGGAATTCAAATCGAATCGTTTAGGTTTGCTTGGGAGTTCGGACACAGATTATGAGGTTCGATTTTGGGAGGCTTTTATCAGCAAATTCTAAATAGTTAACTCATATTTAGGAGTTAGAGATGACAGAAAAAACCGCTCCGTCTCGTCCTGTCTCATTTCGACGGTGTTTCATTATGAATGGGACTAAAAAAAACCGTCCCAACAAGTTGACGAGGCGAGACGAGGCAGCGCGGAACGGGGGCATAAGTTACCGCCCCGTCTCAAGTCTTGGGCATCCCTACCTCATGAAAAAGAAAAAAATTAAAATTAATTATGAAAGGAGAAAACGCAACTCTAACCTAATATCTTCCATCTTCCTTTCAAGACTTACGCCCACAATCTCTCTCTCACTCGCCAGCTATCACCTCTCTTATTTTCCCCAAACCTCCCATTCCAGCCAGTGAAAGCACACCGAGTCTCAAACCACCCTCCACGAGCAATCCCATCAGCTCGTTTTTCCGGCTCTCGATGCCTACAAGCTCATATTCTTTTACTAAAAGCACATCTACTCTCCGATCATATGCCAGGCTGTTGACGACAACTGGATTCAAGCCTTGTTGATTGAAAGTACTATTGGACTTGTATAGATATCATTGATGTTGTTTTCTGCTATAGCCCTCACCCGAGAACTCCTTGCTGTTTATATTATGTTTTATTTTTGACATTTTTGATGTTCAAATGTTTGGTTGATTAAAGACTTATCTTATTTTGCTATAATATAGAAGTAATTTATTAATTATATGAGTCTATTTCTTAAACGTCATTAACCAATAATTCTTAAATTATGCAACTCAAGAAGTAGATGTTCCATGTTTTTACTTTGGATATTGGTGTTGTTAGTTTTAGCATTATTTGCTTTAGATTCTAAAATTTTGAATTTGTATTTTATTCTCTAATAGTAGCATAACTTGCTTTAGAAGTAGATGTTCTGTGTTTTTACTTTGGATATTGACGTTGTTAGTTTGAGCATTATTTGCTTTAGATTTTAAAATTATGATTGGTATTTTATTCTCTAATAATAGCATAACTTGAAATTTTGAAAATGTTAAAAAAAAAAAGAAAAAAAGCAGCAAACAGGGCAAGCCCCTGTTTCACATGGTGCCTTTCTTTTTAGCACAGAAAGGGACACCATGTAGCAGTAGTTTGTTCCACTAGACTACCTTCCGCATTTTCTCGGTCGCATTGGAACAAAAATTTGATTATAATTTTGTAGAAAGCTTACAATAGAGAATTTGAATACATTGAAAGTAAATTGAATATTGATTGATGAAAACTGAATATTACAATTGACGAAAGCAAAAAATTATGATTGTTGGTGCAGGGAGCGAACACCAGTAAGTTTGAAAGATTTTTGAATGACTAATATTTCCTATAATAGCATTCGGAACAAAAACTCTTAAGTGACGGGAATAGACGTTTAAATGGCGAGGAATCATACTAAACGTTTACAAATATCATAGCTATTTTACGACTAAAATAACTATTACAATATGTTTAAAAAAGAGTTGAGCTATCTCTTCCGCGGAAACATACTTAGGCGCTACAATAAAAGTTGCGTATTTTGATAGACGGTCCATCACGATGATGATAGTGCTGAAATCCTCAAATTTTGACAACCTAATAATGTAGTCCATCGATACACTTTCGAATGGTCGAGTTGGGATGGAAAGGGGCTCCATCAAGCCCGTCTTTTTCTGATGATCTGCCTTATCTTGCTGACAAATAAGATAGATTTTTACATAAGTTGCATTGTCGTCCCATATTTGAGGCCAGTAGTATGCACGTTGCAGTAGTGCATAAGTACGTTCCTCTCCGGGATGCCCTGCCCAAATCGTGTCATGGCATTCAGTAATTAGTGATTTTCTCAAATCTCCGTCCTTAGGACTATATAGGCAATCTTCCTTAGTCTTTAGTAGTCCCTATTAAGCTAGAACTCTCGAGTCTTACCCTACTTAATGAAGTCGACCAAATATTGAGTATGGAGCAAATGACAGCCAAATTGACCCATCGACTAAGAGTATCAGCAACATGATTACTAGATCTGGGAGGATACTCTAGCATAAAATTGAACTTTGAAAGAAATTCAAGCCAACGAGCCCACTTGCTTGATAGTTTTGGTTGAGACATGAAGTGACTAACCGCCGTATTATCTGCCTTCACAATAAATGGAAACCCAAGCAAATATTGACTCCATCTTCTAAGACAATGGACTACTGCCAATAATTCCTTTTCATGCACCGAGTAACGAAGTCCTATTTGGTTTAACTTCCAACTCTCATATGCTACCGGATGTCCTTCTTGCATAAGAACTCCACCAAGTGCAAAATCTGAAGCATTTGTATGAACTTCAAATGGTTTAGTCATATCCGGTAAGGCTAAAATCGAGTTCTTCTACATGGACTTTTTCAACTTTTCAAAAACAGTTTGGCATTGGGACGACCAATCCCAATCCTTATCCTTCTTTGTCAATTCGGTATGTGACAGTGCAATATTTGAGTAGCCTCTCACAAATCTTCGATAGTAATTGCATAACCCAAGAAATGAACGTACATCATGTACGATTTTTGGTGGTTGCCAATCTTTGATGGCTAGAACCTTTTTCGAATCCATGTAGATTTTACTTGTTCAATGATGTCATCCAAGAAATCCATAGATGTCTGAGCAAATGAGCATTTAGACGGTTTGGCATAGAGTTCATTTTCTCGTAGTCGATTAAAAACTTGCCTCACATGTTAGACATGTTCTTCCAATGTCTCGCTGTAGATTACTATGTTGTCCAAGCACACCACGATAAAATCAGAACCCATGAAGTACCTGATTCATCATAGTACAAAACGTTGTTGAAGCATTTGTCTAATCAAAAGGCATCATTTTAAATTCAAAGGCTCCATATCTAGTTACCACCGTAGTCTTTACTTCATCTCCCTCCTTGATCCGAACTTGTCAGTATCCAGACCTAAAATCAATTTTTGTGTAATACTTCGCCCGACTCAGTCAATCGAAGTAATCCGCAACCAATGGGATATGATAGCTATTCTTTACAGTAATCTTGTTCAAGGCTCGATAGTCACAGCACATTCTAAGAGAACCATTGGCCTTTTTCTGAAACAAAATAGGAGCTCCGTATGGTGACTTCGCAGGCACAATGATTACATTTCTCCCAATTGCTTCCTAAGCTCTTCAAACTTAGGCTGAGACATACGGTATGGTACCCTGGCGGGAGGTTTGGCACCTGAAATAAGTTCAATTTCATGATCAATTGTTCTTCTTAGTGGCAATTTCTTTGATAATTCGTCCGGCATGATGTCCTCAAATTTCCGAATAAGCCTTTTAACGAGTTTTGGAATAGGCCAGTCGCCTCTTCGATCTCCTCTAATCGAAGAGTACAGAAAAAAGAAGGTTCATTTCTTTTGAAAATCTTACTAAATTGCATAGCTAAGATACTCTTCTCACGCATCCTCCCAGCTTGTGTAGGGATGACACACGGCTTATTACCTATTATTATTAACGAATCAGAATATGGCAACACTGCTGTCTTAGTATCCCGAAGAAATTCCAATCCCATAGTAAGCTCGAAATCATCCATTTTAACTGCAGATAAATTTGTTCTTCCCTCGAGAGGACCTACTCAACTACAGTTATTAGTTGAGTAGCGGAGTTGATTGCTTTCCCACTACCCTTTTCCAGAACAAGTCCAAGTCGCTCTATTTTGGTACATGCAAGGTAGTTGTGGGTAAAACCAGTATCCACCATAGGCCTGATTGGCTTCCCATTAATCTTCACATCAATGTACATTAAGCCTTTGACCCTATAAATACGAGCATTCGCTTATTCCAACTTTGCCTGTCTCAAGGGGACATCATCCTTTCGGTAACCCGATGTGACAGTGTGTTGCACCGATGTGCAAATGGCCCAACTACATCCTCATTCTCTTCGAAAGTCAGTCTCACCATGACAACTAGCCAGTGGGGTATCTTGCTTTGAACTTGACCCGCCACTTGCTAGTTGACAATATGCATTCACCATCCATTTTCGAGGACACTTCGACATCCGATGAGATCCTTTGCGTAAAAAGTACGTCAATTTGGGAGTGACATCAATTCGACCCTCCATTGCTTTTTCTTTATTCCAGTTGTTACTGTTGTTGCCGTTATAATTTTTTTGACGACTATTATGATAATTTCCTTGAAAACCATGGGTGTTTTAATAGTTTCCTCCCTTATTCTGAGAGTAATGCTCTCCCCTATTTGGGTTCGAGCTGAGTCTGTAAGTTTTGTTACCACCTCCAATTGCTTGATTACTCCCCGAAGGTCAATCTTTTCTAGATTTTGTTTGGTAGTCGCTCAAACATTCGACGACTCCCATGACCGCACTCAAATCAATTCTTCTTTCTCTGAAGTTCTGTGCGTGTCCATGGTTTCAACCCTTCCATAGAGGTGAGGAGCTTATCCTTTTTCGATATATCTCGAATATTCAGCATATGCCCTGAAAAGGCTTTCACATACTCCCTAATAGAGCTTATATGTTTCAGGTCTCGAAGTGCCCGCTGAGCCTGATACTCGACATTTTTCAGGAAAAACTGCGATCTGATCGCTTCCCTGAGGAGATCCCAAGAAATTATTCGGACCCTGTTGACATGAATATCAGCATATTTGATTCACCACCATAATTTTGCATCTCTACCCAGATACATGGTGGCTGTGGTTACCTTTATTGCTTCGTCTTCAATTGAAGCTGCGAGAAAGTATTATTCCATGTCAAACAAGAAGTTTTCGACTTCTTTTGCATCATGTGCCCCTCCGTAGGTACACGGTTCAGAGATTCTAAGTTTAGGAGCATACTCAAGTGCGGGAGCTTGCCCATTGCCCACCGCACGTTAGAGTACTTATAATAGAGTTCTCAACGCTTCCATTTCATCCTGCGGTTTATGAATGATTACAACAGCTTCAGTCATTACTGCACAAGCCCTTTGGCTTTCATCCAATTGGATATATAATCCACGAATCTCGAATTTCGTCATCTCGACTTT